TTTTTGAGCTCCGCAGTTTTCGCAGGTTTTGCAGTAGCCAGCCGGCAGTAGGCCGGTCTGGAGAAGGGTAGGTACTGGATAGTTTATTAGTAATAGATAGTTCATTAGGTAGCAGCCTAGCAGAAGCATTTAGTGGGCCGAGATGTCCCGATCTGGAAAAACCGCCTTTCGCGGGATGACCGAGTCGAAGATCAAACTGTTGAGTTCCCTCCCAGGAATTGAGACCTCTGTCGTAGAACTAGTCACAACACTGTCCTCCCTCGTGTCACAGTCGGCCGACCGGGAGACACGCCTGCTGAACAAGATCGACCTGTTGACGAAGCAAGTGAATGCACTCAGTGAGGATGTTGTTTCACTGAAAGAAGCCGCCATTGTTTCGGCGAGTGTCTCTCCCCAGGCCCAGTGCCAGCGTACGAGCAAGACATCCCGTAGACGCTCAGCCAGGAAAGCTGGCCGTGCCGCTACGGGCACCAATGACCCCAGTAACTGTATGAGTACTACAACTGCACACCGTAGCGTCTGTGACAGCGTCAGTGACACTGACGACACTGAAAGCAGTGATCAGGAAGCTACACACCCTGCAGCAGGTAAAGGCTCCAAGCTCCAGCAGGCCAAGCGCAATGACGGAAGAAGTACTTGTAAAGCCATCCTGGATGTCATTGCAGATGACAGTTGGCAGTTGGTGTCAGCGGAGCCACCCAGGCCAAAGAAAGCCATGTTGTACGTTGGGAATCTGGGGAGTCCTGCACTGAGGAGAGTCTAGCAGCTTTCGTGAAACAAAGGTCAGCCAAGGCTGGAGCAGAGACCACTGTGCATGACTGCAGCATGCACAGAGCAGAAAATGGAAAGGTGTCAGCACGACTAATGGTTGAAGCAAGTGCCCTCTTGCTTGTTGTATCCCCAAACTTCTGGCCAAGACCTCTGTACGCCAGACCATGGCAGTTTAAAGACCGTGACCAACATCAGAATGCAGCATCACAAGACAATCTTGGCAGCAGCAATGGTAAACATTCCACCACAGATCCGACCAGTGATAAAGAATGATGGCAGCACTGGGTGACCCTAATTCTCCAACAGGACTCGAACCTAATCCTAATGCCGCCCCATCTATTCCGGGTCTTTTCACTAGACATCTCAACCCTAATGCCATACCATTTACACCACGGTCCCATCAAGGCGCCCCAGCAAATTCCTGGGTACGCTTTGGCTTTATCAACATTTGTAGCCTTTGGCACAAAGTCGACGCCCTGGAGCAGCTGATCGCGGACCAGTGCTGGGACATAGTCGGTGTTGCTGAAACATGGCTTGATGGCACAGTGTCTGATGGAGAAATCCGGATCCCAAACTTCAGTATTGCCCGTCAGGACCGTGCCGGTGGAAGAGGAGGTGGAACATGTATCTACTTCAGGTCGACCCTCCCCGTGAAGCCTCACCCGGATTTGACGGCGGATGATGTAGAGTGCACCTGGATCGAGCTTAAAGGTGCCCGGGCGCCTCATCTCTTAGGGTGTGTGTACCGGCCGCCAAGTGAAACAGTTGCGTTCTGGCCCAGACTAGAGACTGTCTTACAGGCAGCCACCAACAACACCGGATCGGTCACTATGATGGGCGACTTCAATGTAAATGCTGACCCAGTTTCTCCTGGCCCACAATTGCGCCACATGCATGACACGTGTGGAAGCTATGGACTGCAGAACGTCGTGACAGCACCAACTCGTGTTCTGCCCCAATGTGTGCGTGGAACCATACTAGATCTAGTCTTGGTCAACCATGCCAGCTTAACATCCTGGAACATCGTACCATGTGACATCAGCGATCACTTTGCTGTGAGTGCTTCACTCAGCTGTGCTACTGAAGTAAGCCAGCCAGCGAGTTCGCTCCTCACTAGGCAGCTGCACAGAGTGGATATAGCAGCTCTCCGCGCTGACCTGCTTGCAGCAGACCTTCACATTTTTCCTCCACATGCGAGCGTCGACGATATGTGGTCCCAGTCCGTGCGCCAAGCCCTTGAGTAGCCTGTTTTTTATTTGCAACCGCGGGAAAAATCGAGGTGCAAAAAGATGACGACTCGACGACACAATAGACCAATCCCGAAAAGATTGTCTGGGTTCGAAAGGGGGCATGTCACCTGAGAGTACACTGTACAACACATACATGGCACTACCTGATCAGCATGCGGCACAGGACGTGTTTGATAGTTCGCGTGTGAATGCGAGGGTAAGTACACGGTTTTCTCGTTAGTTGCATGCAAAAGAGACGATGCGACAGAAAACAAAGCCCTTCGTAGTTTTCTCTCTCGCACTGGTAATGGTCTGCTGTTGGAGTTGAAATGCTAAGACATAATCCTTGTTTCGCTCTTCTGGTTAGTGTGAAGAGGTCAACGAACATGTAGAGCTCACTTTGATGAAGTAGGCAAGGCTGTGAGCGCTGTGGCTCAAAGCGATAGGCCCTAAATCTTACGAGATATTTCGAGTGCTATTGTTTGTTGCGAGCGCTTCGTTTTCGCTGAGTCCTGCCTCTTTCCTGGCCGCTGCCCTCCTATAGGATCAACCACGAAGTGACTGTACTCATCTGCAGCCGATCAATGTTATATTGCACAAGAAGATATCGTTTTCGCCAAGCCAGTGCCCCACCAAAGACCATCGCCGTGTCACACCGTCGGAACGAGTTCATGATGAGAAACATCATTCGCGCGTGATGAAGAACTATTTCGAAAGACAACATAGTCTTTACCCCCGGGACGACAACTATGCGCACGTCCTGCAAGGGGAGAATGTCACCAGCGACATCAACGAAGACGACGGCAGTATTTCGGAAACCTGGAGTCAGCGGAGGTCGTCCAGCTCCTCCGCGACCCGGTACATGTACAGTATAGATGACATGTCGACACGAGCGTGCGGAAACACAGCATACGCTGTAGTAATGTTGCGAGAGTTTGCGGAAGGAGTCCAAGTCGGGAAATCCATCAGCTCCAAAAGCTACCTGTAGGTGGGCGATGAGACTCCAGCTTCAGACTACAACAGTCAGGACTTGTAAATAGTTGAACTATGTGAAGCAGCAGATCGAGAAGTTAGTTAGCTGAAATCGTAGCTGTTGCAGTATGTCGGCGCTATGGAGCTTGCATTTTTTACGGAGAGTCGATCGCCACGCGAATGTTTCTCTCCTCACCGAGAGCTAGCTGGCCTCCAAACTCCGTCAGGGTCTGCCTAAGGTACCGAAGGTCCTTTGACTAGCTGCTGGCAGGACTCCATCAAATCCTTTCGCTTCAGCTCGGCGAGCAAAAGTCTCTCTCTCCTCCGCCATGAGCTGACACACACAAACTGAATACAAAACGATACACTTCACACATTCTGGCTTGCACGCGTGCCCCCTTTCACGAACCCAGACAATCTTTTCGGGATTGGTCTATTGTTTTGTTGGGAATTTGCAACCTTATTTGGATCTGAACTGGCGTGTGCTGGAGGAATCCTTGTTCATAACTTGGCTTGCTGCTGAGGTATGTCCCTTTGTCACCTATGGCACTTTAGCTGAGGTTCGTTGCGCCCAACTGTAGACCATGAAGACCTGTGTTTGCACCATACATTTTTTCGTCGTAATCGTACCATCAACTTGCTTGTCGTGCTGGAGTGGATAGCATATAACGGACACTCTCGGCTTATGCTCTAAGCCAAAGGTAGATATATTTGGGTTTGGATTCCCAAAGCACATCCCAATCAGGCTATGCAAAATGGAGCGGCCCACAATTTCGTGGAGGTATGTCGAATTGTGTGGAATTTTGCACTAAAGTAATTGTGCTTGAACAAGGACGTTTTGGCTGCTTATTTCCTTGGGCACCTCTACATTGCAAACTAGTCCCCTTGCTGTTTTGTCTTTGACATCTATACGGAATTTCTATGTAAGTCGTGTGATTGGGGCCCAGATTTTAATCAAAATCCAGCAGTATTCCTGGCTGCTGATCTAGTTTGCTAAAGTTCTGGCTGAAGGTAGTTTGTGGAACAGTTTCTTTTGTATGTACCATGGTAGGACGTTCATTACATAATTATAGATGGAGTACATAGTCAAAGAAACTTGTTATGTAGTTTAGCACAACTGCACAGAAGTGCAGGGCCTGAAAGAAAAGCAAGCGCTGGAGACGCAGGGTCCGCAGCATGTGTGAAAGCATTGTGAGAGCATGTGGCTTCGAATTCAGCATCACACACATATACACACTCACACACACACGCGCATGCGCGCACATACATACACACACACACACACACACACACACACACACACATACAAACACGTATCACACACACACACACACACACACACACACACACACACACACACACACACACACACACACACACACACTATTGGACCATTGGACGCCCATCGCCGGAGGCGATGATAAAGATGCTACAGCAGAAGCCATAGAAGCACACACACACACACACAGACACGCGCGCGCGCGCGTCATCTGGCCCGGGTTGCGGGTTGGGTGTTGCATACTGAACATTCTGTACTTGCAGCCTTATCTTGATCATGTGTGATAGTTGTGTCACAGGTTTTTGCCGTATTTTCTGGATTCTCTGTGCTTTATGTAGATGGTCTTGCGCGCTCGTCATCAACAGCACTAGGTCCAGTGGGCCAATCAGACTGAATGGCATCATCCAGCTGTTACTGGGGTGTAGGTAAGTGTCTCTGCGTGCTCTGATGGTCGACTTGTGGCTTCTGGCCTTCAATCATTGTTCTTGCACGGGACCTCAGCCTGCCTCGCATACCCTGTGGTTCACTCGTGTTGGCAGGCTGTGATGCACAGTGGAATCCTTGATGTGGCACTCGGTCTATGTTGTTGCACGCGACGATATTGCCACTGATGGGCTTTGGTGTGATGCTCTGAATAGATGTACCATGAAAGCCTCTTGACTGGTCTCTGTAGTACATTCGCCTGCCTGGCTCGTTTTTGTCGATATTATCCACTGTTGCAATGGAGAACTTTGCGTGAGATATCTCACTGTTCATTCCGAGCTCTGATTTCTTATCAATGATGGTCTTTTGATATCGCTTGTAGGAGTCGCCACCTGCTGTTGCGCCGACTCGAGCTAGTACTCGCATGAGCTCGCTGGAATTGCTATGTGCATCCACAAAGTCCGAAAGAACAAGCTGGAAAGGGTAAGTGCATGCTGGTGTGCTTGCATGCATCATGCATGATAGAACAAACAAGCACCGGATCCTCTTTGCACGGCGGTTGGATGCTTGACTTCCTTCTGACTCCGATTGGCCGTACATCATCAGCCAAATGTGTCCCCACAACTCACTGTCCACACTATCCACCACTGCGTCCAGCTTCATTTCCGACAGTGAAGTTCGGTCGTTATGCTCTTTGTGCTTGAATTCTTGTGCTTGACTTTTGATTTATGAGTGCATTGCAGCCGACAGCTCTGATACGAAGGATGATGGGCCACTGGGTTGGCTTGTGTGCTGTGTGTGCTGGGTTTCATTTTGTGCTCTGTGTTTCAGGGTCTGGGATCGTGCAACGGCGAGGGAATTGTATAAGCACAGAACTGTGTCACACCCTGTACGATACAGGAGCGTACCTCGTTTCTTACTGGTACCATATGACCCATGGCTGAGATGAGCGCCAAGCTTCGAAATAAGGCTGGACAGTAGCCACCGGTTGTTGCAGTCGATGGATGGTGAAGAAGAGGTGAAGAAATCAGCAGCCGTTGCCAGAAGAAGAGAACGGTTCTCGAGGAATGCAAGACAGACGAATCTTGCTGTTGCCAGCAATGCGGACTCCTCGGGTGAGGTGCATTGGTGCATTTCGTCTGTTATACTCCGCACCAGGCTCTCCAGCTTGAAGTCAGTAGTCTGACTGTCCACCATATCCAGTTGGCCTTTATAACAGGCTAGGCAAAAAGCACTATCCGCGGTGACCGTAAGACCACGCTCAGCGTGCAGCTGACGCTGAACTGCTCCGACGTTCGGACATTTACGCTTAACACCCCTTATTTGTGCGCCACACATGGTGCATGTGGGCCTGTTGCTGTCATGTAGCTGCATGTTATGCCGGTTGCAGAGACCCGCTGGCTGATCGTTTGCGTTTACTTTCACGTTAAGCTTCTCGGCCAGCTCTACTGCTTGTAATGAAACTGTGACATGCCGTGGCAAATCACAACCATCTA